CCCCCCCCCGTCCACATCCCGCAGCACTTTTAAGAGGATTGTCTTGTAAGCCGTAATATTTTTAACGAGGCCTGAATTTTCTTGCTACGCGTACACGGTCTGTGGTGTGTGTTCGTAGAAAAACGCAACCTGTCGAAAAGTAATCGACTTTACTCGCGCGATAGAAAAAGAAAAAAAAGGATATAATCCTCCTGAAAAAAAGCGTCCCTCACATTAAAGCCAAAATTAATTTTTTCTTCGCTTATTACTTTGATCTTCTCTCTCTACCTCATAATTTAATTCTACAAACACGTCTTGACTGTCGATAAAACGGTAGCAGCAGCAGCAGCAGCAGCAGCTTCCTGTATCAGATCGAGCCATCGAGGCGTAAGTCGCAGGAAGTAGATATAAAATGAGCGAAGATAGGCAACGGATGAAAGAGAAAGGGGAGGACGTTCAATTTAAGCCGAGCCCACAGCACAAAAATGCTTCCGAAGGCTCTGGCTCGGTTCATTAAATGAAACCCAATAGCGGTTGTTTGCGTTGCCAGACAGCGAATCCGTCGCAAATTGAATGCCATATTGTATAGGATCCGCCCATGTTTCCTATATAGCTTACACACCGTATAGTTTTATAAAATCGACGCAAATGGCGGTTGGCATATACGGTATCGCGTACGCTGTTTATCGTTAATTCGCGACGTTAGGTATTCTGGCGCAAAAACGACAGTATCGTAATGAAATAAAATTGATGACCTATCATTCTTTATTATCTCAAAATTATTTAGTTACTGCGATGCAAAATTATGCAGTGTTTGCCGATATAGAGGAGTTATATTTCCTCGGACAAATACCAAGGCTATTTTAGTCATTTCCTAATGGCGCAACAACGCGCGCGCGTCAAAGAATATTTTACGACAGTTTGGAACAATAGACAACGGCGGGCTATCGCGACGATGTAGAGCGTAGTTAAAACACAATTACCGCGACGCCCCTCTACGACGACCCCACGACAGACCGCGGGCGTACCGCGCTGTCAAAATAGATAACGCTCGGAGTAAGTCACCCCGAAGTTAAAACCCATGCTGCAACGCGGCCGGTGTAGGACCATTCGCTTTGGGTTAACGTCGACAAAGGGTGTACACGGGAGGAGGATAGGAGGAAAGCGGGACCGCTCTGCGTGCACGTTTTGTTGCTTGCGACCAAGTTAGGGGGTTGATATTGCTGGGGATGCCAGTGACGTCACATTGTCTGATTAACATAAACGGACGTGCGTATGTTGACGGAAGTGTTATCTTTTCCAGCCCGTATATAACTATCCTCCTAGCTGCGTAAGAAAATATACGTCAATTATATACGCGATAACTTATCAGCCATAGGACAATTCGCTTTGAAATTTTATTTCGCCGTTGATTGAAATAACTCGAGAACGAGCAACGATTGTTTAGCGAGGAAACACGATGTGCTACGCGTCATCGATCCACGTGGCTTATGACGAATCTTGGACGAAGGGATTAGTCTCCGGTGCGGATGACGCGCGCACATCAACCCTTTTATTACAGGACCGGATGACTGTAACTATCTAACGTGACGACATTAGTGGAACCTCGTTGGCTCCGAAATTATTATTATTATTCTATAAATGGATATCGTAGAGGGAGATCCAGATTATGGGACGCCGCTCGCATACCTATTAGAACAGAACGCGTCGGCCGCTTTTATTTACTCTCGCAGATAGTTCCCAACATCTTAAAAGCTTATACATGACAACAATTGCATCTCGTTTTTGCTAATAATTGTAAATTGTTTTTTATGTCATATGTAATCATTTAAAATCTTTCTAAAATTATGTCGGTGTACTATCGCATTAAAACTTGCCCCTTTGAAATATTTCCAAGAATATTTGACAGTTTTTTTAACACTACAAATTTTAATAAATATCCTATCTGCATTGTTGCATTTTTCAGACCCGGTGGGATTTATAACTTTCTAATTAACTTGTGGTTAAACTTAATCTGATGATAATGTAAAAATTGTATGAATTGCGATAATGAAAAAACTACAAATCATCAATCTAGTAATTAAACATAACCAATAGAAAAGAACACAATTTTTACTTTATTATCAAGTTAAATTTAAACCATAGAAAGAAAATGAAATTCCGAATTTCAATGTCGAAACTCATCGCTTGGATGTAGGAGTTTAATAATAATTGAAAATAATAACCTTATAGAGTAATACTTTATTACGTTTCTTAATGCGAAGGATTACTTTAGAAAAAGAAAAGACACAGAGGTATTATGAATAAAGGTACAAAACAAGTTTCTATTATGATTGACTTACTTCGTAATGCATGTAATCAGTTCTCGTGAAGATAAGTGACACAGAGACGTAAGGAAAAGAGGAAGAGAGTGAAAGCGATCGCGCCAGTGGGAGGAAAGACGATCGTCGGGGAACTTTATCTCATTCATACTTTTGCATTTGAAAGCGGTAATTTATGCGCGCGGCGAAGTGAGATGGAATGCGTCGTGGAGAAACGAGCGAGAGGGAGGAGAACGTAAGTGTGACGACGACGGAGCGTGCGTGTCGGCGTGTGTGAGGAAGAGGCACGACGTCGCCATTATAATAGATATGTTAGCATGCAAACGCTGTCTTTTATACGTTTGCCAGTGCACGGTAGTGGTGGCGATCGTTCAGGGCCGTCTGTCTTCTCACATCGTACCCAAATTCAGCTGTTTATCGATGCCAAAAGAATTGGTCACTTTGACAATGCAGGTATTGCAAGTAATATACCTTGGCATCTTCCTTTACCCGTGCCTTTCATGCACATTGTTCAACTAAAAATGAAGAAGAACGTGCACTGTTCCTAAAAATATATCGACGAAGATTGCACACTACATTATGAAAACTTATGAAATCTTTCAAGTGAAACTAGACGATATAAAGTGTTTGATCAGAAAGTCCAAGACAGAAATTAATTATATTATTACGAGTACTCACTATTGTTTATTTTATTATTATTTATATGTTTATGAAAAATGGTCAGATTGAACATCAAAATATATTCTAGAATGTTAGTGTTGACGCTATCATACATCCTATAGTTATAAGGGTAGATCGACCTATATATTTGTTCGAGATGAAACAGAGTTGTCGTTACGAGACATCGAGGTTTGCCTAGTAGGTCCATAAAAAAGCGAAATTCCGATAAATCGACGGTTGATACGTCCCTGGAGCCTCGCGAGCAAAACGTGGAGGCGGTGCGAGAGGGACGGCAAAGCATGGTTCGCCGGATAGGAGAGTGGTGAGAGGACAACGCGGTAGCAACTGCGACGGCGGGACGATCGGGGGAGGCCGACGGCGGAGCCTGGCGGGAGGAAACGGGGGAACGCATGGGTTCCCCGAGGGGACGGGGGGAGGGGGTGGCGGTGGCAGGGGTGTATCTACTTACCATACTCCCAGTATACCAAAGTCCCGCGGTCGACTCGCTACGCGGCAGATAGTAGTCGCTGGCAAAGCACGCTTCTCGGCAGCAGCCGCGAGAACAACAAGAGAGGGG